AAATACACATTAATATAAATCTTTAGCCAGACTTGGTTTTCCTTGCCGATTGGATTAGCAAAATTAAATTTTTTACAAATACTTAAATAACCCTTGAGGCTTGGCTTAAAAAATTAATATACAAATAAAATATAAATCATAGCCAGTTTTGGTTAGAAATTTGTATTGAAATTAATTAAACCACTACACATAAATTAAATGTGGGGACTAACATCCACCCCCTTCTGTGTTTCATTATAATTATTAAGAAATTTTAATTCACTAATTAATGACTTCACAAATTATTTTCAGTTTGATAAGGCCCAAATGAGAACTTTTGTGGAAAATTTAAAATTTCCCGGGAATGAACTATAAGTACATACAAGAAATGGTAACAAAGGAAATTTTCTTTTTCAGGGATACAGAGACAAGTGGGAAATTTTAGGACACCTGGTCGAAAAAAATGTCCCCCTTCGATACCCTACGATAATTTTCTCTCCAAAAGCCCTTCTGGCCCTATTTAAAATTTCAAATGAATATCACCCTTTTGGGAATTCTGTAAAAACTTAATTAAATGTGGACTGTATTTAAATTTAAAATGTGAATACAATACATTGAAGGGAAAATTTATAATAATAAGACTAACCAATTAGTCTGGGATTAGGGTGTGTCATACTCAAAACCCCTGCCAAAATTTATGAAGAAAAAAACTGACCAGAATTTTAACACAAAATAGACATAAACTTAGCTGTTGTTCTGAAGCTGTCCTGTCCATTTGCTTAATGCTCACTTATGTAGGACTGCAAACCAACAATTTCGGCTTCTATTTGAGAGGGTTTTTTTTAAGCCCAATATAACCCCTAGAGCGACAAAAAAATTTATGTACATTTCATTTACATGCCTTTTCCACAGCCTTTACCGTTACGTCAGAGAAATGCCCCGAGCTTCCCTGTCAGTTCACTTCCTTAAAATACACTTTAGAGCAATAGTAATGTATTAATCAGGTATATTTACTTATACAGCTTTAATTTTGTGGAATTATTTTCCGCAAGTGATGATGTAGAATCAGTCGATAATGATCCAGAAGCTCGATTGATTTTTTCTTACCCCTATTTCAGAATAGGCCATCCTATTTTTTTCCGAGTAATGCTGATACACCCGCCTTGCCAGTAGGCTTTTTTATTTTAGATCCACAAATTAAGAAAATTTTAAATGGCAGTTGTTTATCAAAAAGTTAGAGATAGATTTATTTAGTAGTATGTATGAATTAGTATCGTAATTAGATTTTGTAGTTGGGAAAAACCCCATCTGCGCTCATTTAACTTTGCATTTCCTTTTTAGTTGTGCTATGGTGAATTTATTGAAAGGTATTTTGAGATATAAATATCTATAAGGTATGAGTTGATAATAGCTTACCCTGTACACTGATGAATGGTACGTGATGTTTGCCTTTTTATTTCTTAGAGTAAGAGGAAGTACAATGAACTTTAATCGATCAAAAAAAACTGCCTGAATTTCGTTGCTGAATGTGTTGATCCCGTGCAGAATTGCGGATAAGAACATCCGAGAGACGAGGCGGCGTTGCTGGCGCAGGAACCTAGTGATGATCGAGAACTGACACTGATGGGGGGAAACTGCTCCTCAAGCCAGGACTCTCCGCAAGGACGTGGGTCACCCTCTTTCCTCGACATGCTCTTCGCTGGCATTGATACGGTAAGAATAACTTAAATGATTTCTCTGATTCTTCCTTTCTTTGGTGGCTAAAGCTCTCGCTTCACACGGCGAGGGTCTGGGTTCGAGTCCCAGCGAGGGTAGAAAACATTGGGCGTGTTTCTTTACACGGGGTTGTCTATGTTCCCCCTCAGTAAAATGGGTTCTTTGGGAGTTAGTCAATTGGTGTGGGTCCCCCATCCTGGGGCAAAACTAAAACTAACTTGTTTGCTGCAAAACAGCGGCTTTCTATATAGTTTGTATGTCATTGAATCAGCTAAGCCTGTATACCTTGTATAATGTACTTCTGAAATAAAGATATAATAGAGGAAACCTTACGTGTAGTTATGTTGGAATATTATACTAGAAACAATTGTAAATCCCCATGAATTGCCAGAGCCGAATTAAGATTTTTTAAGGCCCCCGGACTACACGTACTCTGAGACCCCAAGTGATATTTTCAAAAAGAAAAAATGTTAAAGAAATGTTAAAATTCAAACATTTGCTTTGTGTAATTTCTTGAAAACAAAGTTCTCCAAACATCAGTAAATTTAAAAAGTTTTTTGAGAACATTCTGGAGGCCCCCAGCTGGCGGAGGCCCTTGGAGGTTTTTTGAAGGCTATGCCTTAATCCGGCCCTGGATAGAGCCAATGTAAATGTATGTCTCTCATCTCACATTATCTTGTAATTGGCTTGACTATACTTAATAGCATAGGTTTTAGCAGGTATTGGTAGAAACAAAAACGATAAATAACCATCTTACATTGGTAAGTTATCCAAAGATGTGTTTTATCTATAACAGCCTTGCTGTCAGTGACTCAGGTAAAGGAAGCTCCACTCCGGACAAGACCCCGTTACTTGTAATGAAGCACTTGGAAAGTTTTTTTAAGGCAGCAAAGAGTTCGCGGGATAGTGAGGTCAAAGTATTTTAAACCAATGACATTAATTTTACAACAGGAGTGTTATGTTAAACGCCCCATTGCTGTTTTATATGTTGCCAATTTTTTAAACTGCAGGTGCTTTTTAAATTTTTTTTTACTTCATCTATTTTCTTTTGATTCTTAATCGAAAAGTTCCAGTGCCCAAAATACACATGAAATTGTTGAAATTACCTCTGATTAATAGAGTGCTCAATGTATTTCTCAGGTTAACCAGTTTTCCCCCAAAAAAATCGTCGTAACTCCTTTTCCCAAAAAGGGGGTGCGGAGATATGTGGAATTTTTTTAAATTCCAGACCGTGGGAGCGGGTGGCTCTCAGCCCCTCGAAAGTTGGAATAATGACTGCTGGGAATCACTTTCAGCAATTCATAAAAAAGAGAACTATGAAATATAGTTAAAAATGTCTTAGACTAAGATCTATAACAAACTAGAAACAATATAAGAAAAATAAAAAAGAAGGAACTCTGCAACAGGCCTACTGGCCCATGGGAGGCAGGTACAAGTCTCCTACCGACTTAAGCCAATGCACCCAACCTAGTCAGGTCAGGTCACATTCACTTAAGGAAGGAACACGGCAACTGACCTAGTAGCACAAGCTAATCAGGTCCAACTCACACCCACCCACACCCACTCATATATTTATCTAACCTATTTTTTAAAGCTACACAACGCTTTAGCCTCTATAACTGTACTTGGGAGTTTGTTCCACTCATCTACAACTCAATTACCAAACCAGTGCTTTCCTATATCCTTCCTGAATCTGAATTTTTCCATCTTAAAACCATTGCTGCGAAGTCCTGTCTAGGCTAGATATTTTCAACACGCTATTTATATACCCCTTTATTTATTCCTGTCTTCCATTCATACACCTCAATCATATCCCCCCTAATTCTACATCTTTCTAGAGAGTGCAGATTCAGGGCCCTCAGGCTATCCTCATATGGAAGGTTTCTGATACATGGGATCAACTTTGTCATCCTCCTTTGTATGTTTTCCAGTGCATTTATGTCCATTCTGTAATACAGCGACCAAAATTGTGCAGCATAATCTAAATGAGGCCTAACCAAGGATATATAGAGTTGAGAAGCGATACACCATAATATGGTGTGTGAAAAATTAACTATTGTTTAGAGAATATATACATACATATATAGATATATATGTATGTATATATTCAACTCTATATATATACATATATAGAGTTGAAGAGCAACCTGAGGATTCCTATTATTTATACTTCTTGATATAAAGCCAAGAATTCTGTTAGCTTTATTGCGAACACTTATGCACTCTTGTCTTGGTTTCAGATTACTGCTAACCAGAACTCCTAAATCTTTTTCGCAATCCGTTATATTAAGATCTCCGTTATTTAGTTTATATGTGGCATGGTTATTGTCCTGTCCAACATTCAGAACTTTGCATTTGTCTATATTAAACTGCATCTGCCACTTCTCCGACCACTGCATCAGTCTATTCAAATCTTCCTGGAGTGCTCGAATGTCCTCGTCAGAATGAATTCGACGGCCTATTTGGTGTCATCGACAAACTTGCTTATGTCGCTCTTTATGCCCTCATCTATGTCGTTTATGTAGATTATGAACAACAGGGGGCCCAACACTGACCCCTGTGGAGCACCGCTCGTGACGCTTCCCCACTCTGATTTCTCCCCATTTATGCAAACTCTCTGCTGCCTATTTCTCTGCTTAGGTCAGGTTAAACCAAGTCAGGTCAAATCCCTCCAATATTTCTATGATGAAATGCTGAAAGATTAACTTTATGTTTCAAGATCAGTGAAATCCCTGTTGTTGCGAGTACCCCATGATCCGGTGATGGATCTTGTTTCCAAGGAACCCGGGGCTTATACTTCCCTTCTTTGAACCTGAATACGTACCTCCCATTTCATGGGCCCTAAATGACCCATGTGAATTCAGCGCTTCACCCTGAATAAATTAAAATAAAAATTATTGCTGAGTATGTGCCCAGGTGATGCTTCAAGCTGTTTCAGTTGTCTGGCAGATGGCCATAATACGGATGGTGTTATTATTTACTGAAGGATGACCCATCTGTCCAATGCTTTCCTCTGTTAAAAGTATCACTTAGAATGTTCCCACTTATTTGTACAGCTCTTGATTAAGTAATTGACAAGTTTCCTAAAGACATCCTAGCTATGGATTCTTTGTATTCTGGGTAAGAAACCTTGAAGGGGACCACTTTTTTTTTTTTTTTTTTTTTTTTTTTTTTGTGGGAGGCAGACGGGGGAGAATGTGTGCTTATCTCTTTCCTTTTAGTTATTATATGCTGATGAAAAACATTTACAGTATAATCTGTATTCCTCCATCTATATCTGTGAAAGTTTTCTAAAATACATGAAGACATCGCACACTCTGGGTTTCGTACTGTACTTGTTGGCTAGAAACCCGGAGGTGCAGACTAGACTGCAAGAGGAGGTGGATACTGTGCTCGGGGACCACAAGGGTCCACTCACTCACCATCACCTGGCCAAGCTCCACTACCTCAAGGCTGTCATTAAAGAATCCATGAGGTATAACTACTCATTATTTTTTGGCATTGTTTTAATTTGCCACTATGTTGGTAAATACATTTGCAACAATACTGTAATAGCAGATATTATAAATATTTCTTGCTGTACGTTTCAGTTGTTTATTATTTAGTGCATTATCTATTATGCATCATTCAATATGAATATACATTATAATAGCTTTGACAAGTGGCTCACGCAGTTTATTATATTTTAGGCTGCTACCTACAGTGCTTGGCATAACAAGAACTTTGGATAAGGAACTTGTTATCAGTGGATACTTAATTCCTAAAGGGGTTCGTAATATTCACTTTATGTACAGTTAAACATGTAATGTTTTCCTTAACGAAGTCATTTAATCAACAAAAAATGCAGGTTATTGCCAATAATTGCATTTTGATAATTAAGAAGAGGTCAAACATCATCAAGCGTGTTTTATTATTTACATAGTGGTCAGTTGTGATATTGAGCATGATGATGGGTTGGGATGAATCGCTCTTCCCTCAAGCGAAGAAATTCCTGCCTGAGCGGTGGTTGAGGAACAAGTCTCTCGGCACCATTCATCCTTACGCCACATTTCCCTTCGGCGCTGGCACTAGGATGTGTATCGGTCGACGCATCGCTGAGCAAGAAATGTACACCTTCCTCGCTAGAGTAAGTAATCCTTTTATTTACCTCTTGGTGGTTCTGACTATTATAACTCCGCGGCTAGTTTTAATACTGAATAATAAGATACTTGAAAGGAAATTATATATAGTTATGAGAATTCAACAATACTTACTATTCAGTTTTATGAAGGACGGTGAAGAATGTGGTAGTGAAGAATGCGTGTTGGAAATACTGTGTAAAAGAGTAATGAGTTGATTCATTAACCATGAATAATGCTCAATTCCGTCCATCCCTAAGGTATTATTCATTATTCACCTTCGATGTTTTCACACTTCCATGAATCCACAAGGAATATTATTCCTACTTTACTAATAAATGCCTTTCTCACTACGAAAATATCTCCAGGAACAATTTATTGATTCAAGTATTATGCAATAGAGGATCACGCTGATACTTGAAACATCTTATAGTATTACGAGTGCTGAGCGTTCACTTTAATCCCTGTTTTAAGGGTTAATGCATCCTGGGATAGTGGTGGTGAGTAAGTGAAATAGTTTTAATGAGCACAACGTCAGTATGGTATTTTCTACACCTATTCCATATTTAGCCCATTTTTTGAAGTTTTAGCATTATGCTTACAATAACGATTAGACTGCATCGTAGAGTTTACTCAGAACACCTGTAATACGAGTCTCTGAAAATATGTTAATAGGAAAGATTATAAACTTAGAGCTCTTCAGTTAGGAACACGTATGCTACTCTTTTGAAATTATTATCAAATTCCCTAACACACTTTGAATAAAGACAAAATTACTTCAGGTTGTAATTCTTTAAAATTCTTGTGTAAGTGATGACCCATATTCGTATATTGGGTTTTATGCGTGTAAACTGTACGAGGGTAATAAAGACTATGCATAACCTATACACATGCTAACTCGGATTTCCCTATTAACCTGTCGAGTATTGAACTTACCCGTGACCAACAGACAGCCCTAAGATATGGGTTAAATTTCGCGCTTACGAATGATGGCACTAATTATGTTGACCTTGCTAAGTCTTTTTTTCAATCTGGAAAAACAAGGGAACCTATCCCCTGAAACGTTCAACATTTGCAAAGCCATGGTATATAGGAACCGAATTGTCCTTAAAGTTTTGTTAAGTCTTACCATGAATTAAGGAAAGATCCTAGACTTCACCTTCCTAGACTTGCGAAAGCAGACAAAGCAAATACGATAGTAATTATGGACGAGGTAGATCGTAGTGGAAAAATGAGTACTTTATTAGAAGACGAAAACTTACGTGTCCTTTAATAAGAACCAGTTGGAATAGTAAGTTTAATAAGCAACATAGAACCTTACTGAGGTAATGAGGAGCTGATTAAACAGTTATCAGCTTGGTCGGCTATGCTCCCTTAAAAGTACGGTTTGATTAAAACCCACAAACCTGGTTTTCCAGCTTAGCTCCGTGGGATCGGCGAGTTACGACTTGTCAGAATGGTAAAAATATTTATTAACTCAAATGCTTGGCAACAGTTCTGAAGTCCATATAAACAACAATATTAATCTTATTGACAAATTGCAAATGTTAACATGTCATGATTTTACACTAGTAAGTTTGGACGTCACGGTGTTGTTCACCCAAGTGTCTGTTCCCGGTCTGTTATCTTATCTGGAAGAAGAATAAGGTGATTTACCCATGCCATTCGATAAGAACACCATTATTGAGCTGATTAGAGCATGTGTAGTTGATTGCAAGTTACAGTTTGAAGGGAAATATTACGCTCAAAAGTAGGGAATGGTTATGGGAAATTCATTGTCTTCCCTATCTGTATATAGGGGTTTCGAGGCTAGGATGTTGAAAAATATCCTGCCCTGTAAAACTAAATAGTTCAGATATGTGGATGACATCTTGTGTCTAGCCGAATGATTTGAACCTGGATACATTTTTACCGAGATTTAACGCTCTGGGCCCATCTATTAAATTCACTGTGGAGAAAGAAGTGGAATCTAAACTTTCGTTCTTAGATATGGGGATACACCGGGTTGATAGAAAGTTCAAGTTTGCAGATATAGAAAGGCCACTATGTCCTCATGCATTCACTATTATTCCAACCATGAAATAAGAGGAAAAAGGAGTATCTTTTTTCACTATGTTTCTGAGAGCTTATCGAACGTACAGCCCAGAGTTTCTTGATAAATAAATTAGGAAAATATTTGATATTGCCACGAAACTGCGGTACCCTAAGTAGTTTGTAGAATTAGCGTTGCTGGCAGCTAGGAAAGTTTATCATAGGGCTGAACCTGAACCCATCATAACACCTCAGATCAAGAATGTGATGGTTCTTCCACACAATGAAAAATTATCTGCCCCGAAGAATTGTATATAAAGATTCAGCATACTAACAGTTTTTTTAAGAATTCAGTCTGTTAAGAACATTTTGATAAAAAAAATTATCCTTAACACTGTTGATGGTGTCTATAGGATCTGTTGCAATGTCTGCACTTATCTTACGTGGGGCAGACCGACAAAGGTCTAGATGTTAGGATATTACAGCAACAATATTCGGTACGAACTGTACAAGAATCATATGCGATTTTCAGCCACATTAAGCTCTGCAATACCTTTGCAAATTGGTCAGAAGCCAGAGTTGTCATTCCTTATTCCTCTTGACTTGAACGAAATACTGTAGAATCGGCAATTATAAAACATGACAAATGTTCATTATATAATAATAGTGGCGGCTTATTCAAACTCGACAACTTTGTAATTAAAGTCATAGTACACAAACTTAAGCTGAATTCCTACCAGAATTCGTTAGATTGTCGTACATGCAGCTCTGCCCTCACGAACTGTGTTATCATGTGGGAGTTCGATACGTGGATTAGGGTAGAAATACTCACGTAGGCTGTTATTACGTATAATCGTAGATATGTGGAGAGAACCCGCAGCCGTTACCTGTCTCCTTGGTTACACTCGTAAAACTGGCTAGCCGGCTGGCCAGTACCCCGTAGTGGGTCTTTTGAAATAATGTCAGCTCAGCACAGACCGTGACTCAAGACGGTTGGTCGTTGAGTCAACGGACAGGTTACTGGTACTTGGTTACTACTACTGAGACTGGTAACTGGTTACTACTACTGAGAGCTCGGCGACGCTAACGTATGTCGTCCCGACATACAACTAATACGAACTAGAGATGGCAGGTATACGGCTTGGGCTGATTCTATACAATGTCAAAGTACACAACATGAAACATTATAGATACATAAGTAGAACATTAGAATGAAAGCTTACGTAACTGGAACTGTAATGCAATACAAGGTATATATAGTACAACTTAAAACTCAACAAATGAACAACGAACTCAACATTGAGATTACAAGTGATAAAAACAAAAATTTTGATCGATCGATCTGTATTCGTGTGATCTACGGATTCTGAGGAAGGAATATATACAAAGAAAGAGTGTTTAACAGAAAGGCAGATTCGGTGCAACGCAAATCTAGACTGTTAACTCTCAGAATGCGGAGAGAACACGAACACAAAAAAAAATTCTTGAATACTGATAAGTTGATACTGTAACTATTCATCTATACAGGTTATTTACATTTAACCCCAACTCTGCTAGGTGTAAGATTGGCATATGCAGAATGGGTGTCATCTCTGGGAGGATCAAACTCTGTAGCATTGGCTAACTCATGCTGTATTTGAGGCAAATCTGAATTGGAAGTTACAATGATAACTTGGGATTTCTCAATACCTGTGTGTGACGTAGGGAATAACGACATTCAAGTTGATCGTCAGACTGAGTATCAGAGGAAGAGAGTACAGGATCAGGAGGATTGTCAGAGTCTGTCACATTAGTCTGGGTTGGAACATCATTATCATCACATACTAACTTCATATGATCCAAATGCGATTCTTTATACTGACCAGTACTAATCTCTCTAACCTTATATACTTATTACCAGTGATATGTTCAACTAACGCGATAAGGACCAACAAACTTTTGATCAAGCTTTGGCATTGCAGACGTTTTGTTAAAATTGTCAGCATAACTCTCGAACCTACTTTTATATTTGGATGGCTTTACTCGAGTATTTGCGACTCTTGTAAATTCAGCTGTTGATTTATGAAGTGTTTCACGGATTCTTCTAAAAACACTTTGAGCTAAGCTGGTACGAGTTGCTACGAAATCATCAGGGTTGTAATTTGGTTTCGGATTAGAATATAACAACTCATAAGGCAAACGTTTATTCTACACCGTACAATGCATAATGTGGAGTGTCACCTATAGAAACATTATATAGCAGAATTTATAGCACACTGCACATCAGGTATAACTTCATCCCAAGTTTCACTATTGGGATTGATAGTGGCTCTCAAGACATCAAGTACTTTCTTATTGGTTCGTTCGCTAACCCATTGCTGGCAGGATGATGAGGAACAATGGTGGATTTAGAGATCTTGTACAAGGTACACAAATTTTCAAGAATTTCATTACAGAATTCACCTCCATTATCTGTTTACTAGGGACTTAGGAGTGGTATGCCTGCAGATAATGCGTTCTTTAAACGCTTTGGCTACTGTCTCGGCAGTCTTGTCTGCAATAGGAACTAACTCGCAATATCTGGTGAAATGGTCTACCATAACACACAGATGTTTGTTACCTTGGAGGGACATCGGAAATTAGTTAACAAATCTAGCGCAACTCTTTCCCAAGGTTCGCTAGTAGTTGGATACACTTGGATTGGATTAGGACCATTAGCATTGCCTTTATGTTGCATGCAGACACTACATTTCCTACATACTCAGAAATATCAGTTGCCATACGAGGCCAAAAGTATTTCAATCTGGCTTGTTTTACTGAACGATCCATACCAGGGTGTGCAACACCTGGTACATCATGAACTAGCTGTAAGGCTACATTCACTAGTGACTGTGGAATTACTAAACTGGTATACTCTTCTGCTAGGAGTACCCAACTCGGCTGTTCGATACAGTAATTCTTGGTTCATGAGAAAGTCACTGATGGGAGCTGGTGGCTT